ATAATATCACATCCACAGTTTCGAAATTCAGCCATTCGTGAAGTTTTTATACCTCAAGTCTAACTAGAAAAGTAATTCTTTCCTCTCTATGTTTCTCTATATTCGAAATAAGCTCGAAGTCTAGTCCAATTCATTTTTGTTTCAAACAAGTAAAGTTATAGATAGATTTTTACAGAAATTATTATCATCTAATAATATCTATGATGTAGAACTAGTCACTGCGAAGTCTAGAGTAGACATCGCAATAGACGTCTAGCACGTGCCAAAACAAATAACAAGATTGGAATGAGTAGTTTAAGATTTTTTTCGAATTCATATGAAAAATTCTTCACTGGAGTAGAATTTGGGATCAGAGTTGGCAAGAAATGGTTAGAAGTTCGCGAAGAGTAGAAAACATGGGCTTGCATAATGAGCAGAAACTGTACATGGCATGACTCACACTATGTTAAACCGTACAAGTACTAAAATACATAGTTTGTATAGGTTGTCGGATTAGAGATATAATTGCAAACATTCACCATTGCATATTATGGGTACGCGTGACAAGTTCCATTAATTTGCAAATTTGTAGTGTAGTTGTTAATTATTGGATTAATTGAACTCGTATTTTTTGGTCAATTTACTTTAGTCATTTTATATTCATCATGGTTTTGCTCGTTATCGATAAGACAGTGAATAATTACATACCTTTGGCACTGTATTTTGAACTAAGTGATTATATTTATTATGAAATCTTTTTATTCGAACTTACATTCGAGAATGCGAATCGTTTACATATATTATTAATTAATTGTTTGTGATTAGTTATCATTGTTTCTCACATCATGCAGATTAACTAAAAATCAATATTTATCTCTATGCATTTTTTACAGTTTTGCTATCTTTGCGAATCTCTAATATATATATATATATATATATATATATATATATATATATATATATTGTCATTTCTGCTCCGAGAAGTCTTAATGGATGCTTCTCAATTGATAATATCACTGTGCAATAAAACTGCATGGCTGGACATTCAATTAAATTTTTAATTTCTCATGACATGACGCAGGTCATGGCTATGATGAAGCTATTAATTACTCAATGTACTTGCAAGCAATCGCAACTTGTATCGTCTGTTACAATACAAATATTGAAGTTCTAAATAGTTATTGCTAAGTGAACATTTTACTTTCTTTTGCGACTTTAAATTATCTATGTAATTCAAATTTATTTATTGTAAATAAAATCTCATTACAATCTAATTTGATTTTACTAATAACTAATTTCATTTTTCTTTTTTTTCCAATTATTGGATTGGGCCAGTGGAATAGATGGGTGTGATTCTTTATCGATATATAATACGTTTCCGAGATCTTATTCGATTTTCAACAATATTGCATTTGGTAAAATAATGTACATCATCTGAGTTAATCGTATAACATACATCGACTTAATGTTGCCCCGAGCGACCGGCGATCGCCTCCGTTACTGATTTATATTAATTGTAAGTGATCGGAACTGGACCTTCCTCGCCTCCTGTTGGTAGGTTATTATTCACTTCCTCGATACCTCTTGGACATAACACGCGGATTGTTTTGTTTTGTCCCGCCAGTGATTTGTTTTCGTGTGGCACGCAACAGTGCGCTAATCGAAAGTATCGGACTTCGGAAACATCAGGTATCCTTCCACGATGGTAATTATTTTCAATACAAGACTGTGCCGAGAACTTATATGAATAAATGAAAATATTAAAAAAAAATACACTTTTAAATATATAATCCAAATTTCTAGCTATCATCGGTACCTAGGCTAATACGTTGACCTGTTTATACACTTCTTTATAACGAATTTTCATAACTTAAATTACTTCCGGTAGGGCAAGTTATAGTAATCGCAAAAAAATCGAAAATGAAAATTTTTATAGATCTTTCTGTTTCAAAACCTTCTGAACATTTTAGCATACCTTAGAAAAAATGGATGTATGTGTGTGTGTGTGCGTGTATGTATGTATGTTCGGATACAAATTTTCGTCGACGATTTCGGGAACACATTAACCGATTTGAATAATTCAAAAAACATTCGATTCGTATTGATAAGGAGACGTCCTGATTAGTTTTTGGCGAAGGCAGGTCTAGCCGTTCCGAAGATACGGGGAAAAAAGTGCCGAAAACGGTAACTCAGTTTTTAAGAGAACGGAGCGTCCGATTTGAATAATTCAAAAAACATTTTATTTGTATAGATTAAATGAAGAGCTGTTCAAATTTTTGGAAAGGCAGGTCCAACGATATGGAGATATGGAGGAAAAAGTGAAAAAATGTGTCAATTCGCGGTCAAAAATGAACATTAGACAAATGTATATCGTATTATCAGATATTTTAACAATAAGTATAAATTTTGTTTACATTCCTATGGGTTCCGCACCAATGTTTACGCGGTAGACGGCGACTCGGCGCTTATGCGCTTTGATATTTTGTTTTTATGCAGTTAAAGCAGTACGATTACTTTGAAAAAAAGTTCAGAATTTCCAAAATATTTCAAAATAAATGATTTAAGATAGAATGATTTAATATGGTTCGAAATTCTATTAAAAGTTTCAAATCGTTGATCAACTTTTATTGATTATTATTATTGATTATTTTTAATTACTCGAGCTTTGAATTGCGGTACGGGAAGTTCCAGCAATTTGCCTTAAGGCACGATGCCCTAATTGCCTTAAGACATACCACTTACAGCTAGTTTAGTTCATATGTTGATATTTATGTGGAGGAACATACAGAATTCATCAAATGGTCATCAAAATCAAATTGCGTAAATATATGTAGGTATAATTGCGCTTGCGCTTGAATAAATTTAAATTGATTAATGAAAAGGTTCAGTATCGAAATATCCATGTAGGTGTAAGCGTACTTACCGCATTTTCTGTCCGCAAGAGGGTTATTTCCAAAATTGGTGATAGCACCTTGCGTTTATTAAATGGTGCGCGACTGCATACCTGTTTGTACGACGATTTATAACCTGTCAATTATATTTTCCAATGAGTATTTCTTCCAATGAGTAAATGTATTTAAAGCGCTCACAACATATAACTGTTGTACGAATAAAGTAGTTGCGAACATATTTCAGCTCCAAGCGAAAACCGCTCGCTTATTATTAACATTAGCATTCGTTAGAAATGTCATCGATTTATTGATTTATGTTTGTCATGGTAATTGCACTTCGATGAGAAGTGGCAGAGTGAATTTTTAAATTTTCGAATATTTTTGCTAGGTCCACACGTAGCATTTCGGTCAGGAGGCAACATTGTTGGTTTCACAAATGATATTCCAAGATATTCATAATTTGAAAATACTTTCTTACAATTTCTCATAATAACTATCATTTATAAAAGCTGTTCACTTTGATCTATTTTAATATACACATTCACCCAAGGACCAGTTTCGCTCGTATAGAATTATGATTAATTACTCGATTTTATGACTTCTAATTAACTTTAGTTATAATTGCACTCGGATTAAATAACTTATTTGCTGCTTACACCAAATGAGCCAGGCAAACTGACATTTCGAACAAGTTTTTATTATTGATGAGACAAACATAAAATAATATTCTAGGAAATAACTTAACAGATGTAAAGGATGTTTTCATATTTTAATTAATGATTCTTAGTATGTTTTGAAATCCTAATTAATAATCAGATAAAGCAAATAAAAAATATTATGATCCAAGCACAACCCTGCATTACTATGGTTTTAATGACCGATATGTTATGAATGAAGCAGATAAGAGCCCAACGGATACTGATACCCGTTCTTCTCGCAGGCCGTGAAAAAAATACGCGCGATTGTTTTTTGCATAATGAGCACTTCCTCTTGCATGGGCGCGTACAAGAGGAAAGGAAATGACCAAAAAAGCACCAGAGATCGCGCTCAGTGAACGCCAACATGCCATTAGAAGCCCGAATAGCTTTCATCAGAAAATTATCATTGTAAATTTACAAATGCACTCTTAAGAATATGTTCGTTGCTCAACAGTATATTTTTTATTAATTTTGCGCGAAATATATATCTAGTTCATATAATATTTTTAAAAAGATATAAGTTATTATTAACTTCCCGTAGGGTAAGTTATTGTAATGGGCCGAAAATCGAAATTGAAATTTTTTGCATTTCTCGACGTTTTGAAGGTTTCTGAACATATCTCAGAAAAAATGGATATGTGTGTGTGTGTGTATGTATGTATGGATACAAATTTCCAGTCACGTTTCCGGGCGCACGGATCAACCGATTTGAATGGTTCAAAAAACATTCGATTCCTATTAATAGGGAAAAGAGCTGATTAGGTTTTGGCGAAGGCAGGTCCAGCCGTTTCCGAGATACGGACCAAAGAGTGCAGAAAATAGAAATCAACTTTTTCAAAGAACGGAGTATCCGATTTGAATGATCTAAAAAACATTCAATTAGTAATGATTGGGAGAAGTGTTTATTAGTTTTTGGCAAAGGCAGGCCCAGCCATTTCGAAGATATGGAGCTAAATATGTAAAAAATGGCAATTTTTGAGAGAACTAAGCGTCCGATTTAAATGATTCAAAGAAATTTCTGCTTGTCTTAACAAAATAATTGATTTTGGAAAAAAATATTTATAAAATTTTAAAAATTTATAAAATAAATATTATTTTATAAAAATAATTTTGGTATATCGAAAATAATTCAGATTTTATTTTTAATTCTGACTAAAGTTCTAATATACTTTGAATAAATAATTTTAACTTTGCACTTCAGTTTATATAATTCTTATAAATATTAGACTTACAATATTTATAATGTAAATGTTACAATATTTATAATGATCTATTTGAAAACATTCAGTATTCCTCGAACATTTCGTTACGGTACGGGAAGTTCCAGCAATTTGCCTTAAGGCACGATGCCATACACCCCACTAGTTTTATAATGTATTTTAAAACCTAAGTATTGTATATGTAATTAAATTCAATTTCCTTCATTTTTCAGAATGCACATTTGGTAAACAAACTCGAGAACTTGGTTCAACATGGTTTGCAGATTTAGGACCTCCTTTTGGTGTTATGTATTGCATACGCTGCGAGTGTACTCCGGTGAGTTTGAAGAAATCCATATAATATTTTTCTTTTTACAACACTAAAAATAACTCTATAAATATATGTAAATATCCTCGAAAAAAATTTGCTCAAAGTTGTATAATAAAAAAGAGTAGCCGTGGAGTTATTCTTAGAGACGTTTACCAGACGGCGCGTTAAATTGGTCCTTCGAATTCATAAATCGGTCGTTATTAACCTAAATATGCAAATGATTTGCGAAGGCAATTTGTATCAAAAGAAAAACGCTGATTCTTGCAGCGAAACGATATCCTGTCTTGCGAATGGAAAAGAACATTTTTTAAACTGATTTTTAGTGTTTTTACATTTTTAGCATGTTTCGTTGTCATAAATTTAAATATAAATTACAAAATATTAAATAAATGATGGAATAATAGAATGTAAATGTTAACTTCTTCATAATATTAATCCTATATACTTCTATTTTATAAAGAATAGGGTTATATAGCATTTTAATATTTTTTTATATTTATGTTTTGTAATTGTTATAGGTTCAGAAAAAGCGTCGAATAGTAGCCCGCGTCCAATGCCGGAACATCAAGAACGAGTGTCCGAAGCCAACTTGCGACGAGCCCGTTCTCCATCCGGGAAGATGCTGCAAGACCTGCCCTGGCGACATATACAGTGAGTGCCTAAAGCATTTTTATTATAATTAACATTTTAAAATAAGTGATTTAAAAGTAATATAAAATTTCCAAGACGTATGTTTCACGATCTTTTGTGGTTTAGTTTTATCGTTTTCCGATTAAACAATCTTTTATATAATTGGTTTCGTATAAATTTTGAACATAAATCTACGCATGTTTATTGTCTTAAATTTGCGTTCACTCACAATTTAAATTACAATGAAATTTAAATTAGTATTATGTATAATTTATATTTAAAAATTATTGGTTGCATCTAAAAAAACAATTCTATCACGGGCAATAGGAAATAAAAATTCTAGGCTTCCAGACACACACACACACATATATATACACACACACATATATATACATATATATATATATATATATATATATATATATATATATAATTATGTATCATCCATTCAAATTAAATGGAGTGGTTAAATTAGCGATAAACGGTTACAGCAAGTAAACCACAGAAAGTTTTTTTCTTTGAATCCATCTCATTTAATTAAGTATGTGTAACTCTACCCAGCAGGCATCCTATAGAAGGCGAACGAGATGGAATTTTTTTCATTAAGTTCGAAACAGTTAATTGAAGCAATTACTTTATTAATTATCTTCAAAGTGTCTGTACATTTGTTTCTTTCAATAAGTGTTAATTAGCATTGCGCAATTTATATATGCAGCGTCGAAATATATGTCTGGTTGAAATATTTTAATAATCCTACTTATTCAAATAATTATCTAATGCGGATGAAAAACGATGGTTGACATATTGATATTTAAATAAACGTTATTATAATTTGTTATATAAAATACATACAATTGCAATTACAATTAAAAAGTTCAAAAATTTTATAAGCGACTTTTTAATATAAAGTATATATTCATTTGTATAACATTTTTTAACATCGGATGCAGAATATAAATGCTTTTATATTTAACGTTAATTGCATTATGTTCGTTGCACTCTATTAATATGAAACCGCAAGTCTTTAAACGCGAGTACAAGCAACACAATTAGTTTATATTGAACGATATTCTCTATATGTAGTCAACAAGATTGCATGTCATTCATAACGTTTATTCATATTTTATTGCATTCATAAAACTCTTGGCGTCCTACGGACATTTACGTATCATTTTAAATGAACTCAATTTAGTTTAATTGAATGAGCCTTTTATTTCCTTTATGGTATTAGCATGAGAACGATTTTGAATCTAGTCTAATTCACTTATGGCGATTATTGTTTTGCGTCGGGCTTAAATCCGGATGTCCTGTGACGTTCATTTACACTGCGGTTCTTGCTGATTTTACCTAATACTTCTTTTATAAAAAAATTGGTTACTATTTTATTATTAGGTAATATATGAGTACCTACACATATTAATCCCGCTGTCTTATCTTTACAATGCTTATAGATAAATATAAATGATCTATTGTCAACATTGACTATGTACCACAGTCTGATAATACGATATTTCCGGGCATACTAGGCGTGGATATTAGGTGCGACCCGCACCCACGTTTTGCTTAATTTTCTCAAACAACACGAATTGTTCTTATATTTATATTATATTTTGTAATAAAAACAAATTGATTTCTTCTGGAGGAAGAACTGGAGGAACCGAGGTTTAGGGGTCGATGATTATCTGTAGCCATCAATTAAAATAAGAAATTAAGATTTGAGTTTTATTAGTGCGAGTCTTATTAGTACACATCTGTTAACAAATCGCTGTAAACTTTATGGGTTCGTGCAGAGTTAAATAATCTTCCAGATCAATTTATTATTGTTACTCTCGGTCAGTATTTAGAATTGCTGCCTCGCTTTTAAATTAGCGTACGAGTTGATAATTCTATCGCGAAAAATAGGCCAATTGGTCTCTATAGCGGTTACATTATAGTTAGACGGGCCGCGCAAAGTCGCTGTTTGGCGCCGGTTCGATTTACGAGGCGATCGTAAAATCGCGCTAGATGCTCCTTGTTGGTCGCAGATCACGGCCGAATGCATTGCATTCCGATACGCGATACTGCCATAACCATAATATAGCTCAAGATTTGTTTTCCATTGCCTGGATTCATTTGCCTCAACAGTCTTTCAGAAAGTTCTTTGGGATCTTCTATAAGTTACTGACTATCTAACGCCTGCTTGTATTTTTCTTCGTGCTGCGCCGGTAACTTCAGATTACCGGCGCTGAATATAATTTTTATGAATTACTTTCAACTTTAAATTAATGAAAATTATATTTATTACTATATTGAAAATAATTGTACACACTGCGAACATAGGTAGGTTTTTAATTGTAAACATCACAAATATTTGCATATATTCAAAAGATTGTTTTTAAATTTTATCAATTATATGCTATATATTAGTTAGGGTGAGAATAATTTTAGCACTAGCATCTTTTTGATTTATATTGCTAGATTAAGGGGGTCTTCCTATGTGACGGCCTGTTTTTTAGGGATATTTTAGGATTTTTTTTCTACGACCAGTAAATATTTAGAGCTTTAAGTTTTTTATCATTTATTAACACAAATTTGGACAGTATAAATATAAAATTTCAGCTAAAAATATTCAGTCAAACTAGAGTTACAGCGCTCTGAACACCCCCGCCTCGAAAAAAAGAGCTCCCACTTCCTCCACGATTCCGGCTGATCGGCTTATCTGAAAAAAAAAAATAAACGGCGTTTTAATTTGTAGGCTTAAAAGCACGGAATGACCTATAATCAAATGAATATAAAAAAAATTGGATTTTTGATAGACATTTGAAATAAAAGTTGCAAATTAGGCTTTTTTTTGTTTTTTGCTATAAAAAAATCGAAGTTTTGAAAATTGATAATAGTTCATTCCATGCGTTTGAATATATTGAGTGTGCCCTGTAAATTTCAAGTAATTCGGTCCAGCCGTTTCTGAGATACAATGGAGGAAAGTTTGAAAAACATAGTTTTGAGAAAAAGGCGTTTAAAGTTTCAAGTTTCAACTCAGCGCTCCGAACTGCTCTTTCTTTTACCTGCTGTATCTCTAAAACGACTTCGAATTTTCTAAAATCGCTTTACTACCGTATTCTAGACATGTTAAGGGAGCAATTTATGAAAAAAAAATCGATTTTTTCAACCCATCACATAGGAAGACCCCCTTAAATAGGGTTATTCTTTATCTCATTTTATTTTCTTCAGCGTACTTGTGAAATAATTATTTTTTCTACTAATGATAATTATATTCAATATATAGTTTACTTCCTATGATCGTTTTCTTATTTCTGAAGAAATAAACATTGTAGAGAATCTTATATTCTATAGGAAATTTATGATTAGTTACATCAATCAATTATAAACTTTTACAGGTTTAGTAAATGGTTATTTGTTACGTTTATCATGCCTTGACTATATGATTAATTATGAATGAATGGTGTAAAAATACTAACGGGGTTATTACTTCACCAATAAAAACTTGATTACTAAACGCCATGAAATGTGTTTATAACTTTTCACAGAATGTTTCTGAAGCTCTATTTTTTGCATATCGTTAAGGTAACGATGATCTCTTATCGAGAGTTGCTATGTGTTTGCTTAGTGCGCATCTTGCGGGATGTTTTGGCCGCGCGACCGAGGCGCCGGCGCCAGCGCTCTCGTCTCGGTGGCAAACGATTGCGTAACCATCGCGAAAACTTGGTTAAACACCGCACCTTAATTCTATTACTTGTAGATCATGAGTATGTAGTTAATGCCGATCTTTAGTGACTAGTTAGTACAATTGCATTATGCATATAATGTAGTTATTAATTCTTCTTTCAACTTTTAACCTACTTTAATGACCTTATTCAACATTTTTATCATTTCGATGTGGTGTCATGACATTTTCCTTATAGCATTCTAAAATTGTCCTAAGTGAACGCCGAAGTCCATTGATTGAAAAAGAAGTTAATAAGCGACACCGAAGTGTACAGTCTGTAAGTAATTGAGCAAATTGCTGTTTTTGATTCAACGTGTACAAGCTACTAGTAATTTCGACGGCAGTGCTTAGTACTTTGCATATTGTTCCAGGGTTGCGTTCCTGTACATTGAGTATTTTAGAGCTGCTATAACAGTTTTGAAATATTCATGTTGTTGGGATAAGTAATAACGATGTTTTGAACGAAAATTGTTGCTATTATCGAAAGGAAAAAGCTAAAAATACACGCCACACACGTCAACCAACTATTTTCGTAAGCAAATTACTAGAAATAAATTTCTCTTAATATAAAATAGTATTCTATTACTTACGGTCTAAATCTTTAACCCTCCGTCGGTCGGCGTGGTCTGGCCAGACTTTTTTCGACTTCAATTAAAAAAAAATACATCTAGTAATCCTATCGACTTGAAATTTATTGACTTTTCCTAAAATTCCATTAGCTGTCGATCAATGAAAAAATCAGGACGAAAACATGTTCAGAAGGATAATTATAAGGATATTAATTTTTTTATGTTTCGATTACCCATACATTTTGTATGAAATATACGCTTTTTGATATATGTAAACCAGTATTTTGTCTTTTTTATGGTATTTTCTGTTCAAACTGCGTTGTATATATTCTTTGCTATGTGTTGTAACAAGAATGTTAGTATTTTCATGACGAGAGTTCCTTGAAAACCTACCAAACTTATTGGTAATCGCAAACACTGAAAATCGGATGAGTAATGCACACATTATCAACAATTTTTCTATCCGTACTGCGTTCGAAATTTTTTTTGGCAAACCTGTAGTGAAATTATATTTTCACTTTGAGTTTTACAGCTCATTTCAAAGGCGACGCACCTCATTTCGTTTTCATTTGAATTTCACATTCATTTCAAAGGCGCCGAAAAAGAATAAATATTGTTTTTCATTGATATAAAACAGAAAAATTAACAAAAAAAACAACGATTTTTATATGTTTCTTGTTTTTTTATATAATCGTTAATAAATAAGACACCAAAAACTCATTTATCCCATATAAATGCATGTAAAA